GGAAATTAATTTTGCCCCAGGAGTGCCAGAGTACAAAGGACCAGAGTCACGGAGCAGGGTCGGAAGTGGCCATGACGTTAGGGTGGGGCCTCCCTTTTGTTTGTTCAACACACAACCCAAGCCTCCACTGAAGAGCACCCCCTGCTGCTCCAGAACCCCAAAAGGGAGATTCGGAAGATTCTGGAGTTTCTGGGCCGCGCCCTGTCAGAGGAGACCGTGGATCATATTGTGCGGCACACGTCCTTCAAGGAGATGCAGAAGAACCCCATGGCTAACTACAGCACCATACCCGTGGAGCTCATGGACCACAACATTTCCGCCTTCATGAGGAAAGGTGAGTGCCCACCAGGAGGGGCGCTGGGGAGGGAGGGCGGGAGCAGCGGCTAGAGCTGGCCCTGGGCCACTGGGGGCCTCTGCTGTGGCCAGGACCTCTAGCCTCCCTCCTTCCATCCCCGCCTCCCTCCCCAGGCATCACGGGGGACTGGAAAACCATGTTCACTGTGGCCCAGAATGAGCGCTTTGATGCCCACTACGCTGAGAAGATGGCAGGCTGCAACCTCAAGTTCCACACAGAGCTGTGAGTGGTGTTCATGGCACCGCTCCCCAGGGAGTGTGTGCGAGGGGCCCGACAGGGGCCTCAGTAATAAAGAACAGCTTGTGTTGCATGGAGTGTGCCTATTGGAAGACAAGCAGACCGGAGCTGAGAGAGAGACTGCCCGCTGGGGGACCAAATGGCCCCAGTTCCCCAACTTGCCCTATGTGGGGAGGGGTAAGAACCCAGGAGACATGGCAAAGGGGAAGAACATTTATTTCTTCACATAATGTCTTGTTGCATGCCCCCGTGAGGCGACAGGAGACTGCCAGCCCGCATCACTTTTTCTTGGGCTCCTTACAAGCCACCACGTACCTCTGGGCCACATTGAGGGGAGGGGAGTAGCCATCTGCATAGGACGTGTCTTCAAACAGGACAGAATAGTCATCCTGGGGCTGCGAGGAAGAAGGGAGACGAGTCTTTAAACTGCCATCAGTGATGGGTGATTAGAGTGCAGGGGTCGGGGGTGAAGACTGGCCCTGAGCAAGGCTTCCATCTCGGGGCTCAGGCTCCCCACCTCAATGCGAAAGCGAGGCTAGACTAGAGGACGCACGGGGCTTTCTAAGGCTCCGCAGGGTGCTGGCACTGCCTGGAGGACAGGCTGGAGGTGTTACAGCTCAGGACCCTGCCAGCCCAGAGGCTACAAGGACAAGAGGGAAGGAAAAGGGAAGGTGACCGACCCCATGACCTGTCTGGTCAGCGGGGTGGTCCTGGTGTCCTGGACGATCTCTCCCCCGGGGGCTGCCTTACCCGTTGTGGGGGGGTGTGGATCAGGGCACGGTAGAAGCAGGTGGTCTGGGGATACAGGGCCAGCACGAGCTGCTCCTTCTGGAATAAGGCTTCGGGGTCCGTCTCAGGGTTGGCCTTCCACTGGGGCAGTGGGATGATGCGCCGCCGGCTCAGGGTGTGTCTCCTGGAGGGGCGCTTAGGTCAACCCATGGCAGGTGGGGGCTCTTTCCCAGCAGCAGGGCTGTCCCCAGGCTTCCCTCGCCCCGCCCTTGCCAGCACACTCACTCTTTGCCTTCCTCATCAATGTCATCCACCTCATACCTGCGGGCGAACGAAAGGAGAGCAGTGGATGCAGGGCGGTGCACACCAGGTGGGGACTGGGGAGGAGGGCGAGGAGGGAAGTAGCCTACAGGGCTGGGCGTGTCCACTCACTTGTTGGTGGCATGGCTGTAACTGACCACCTCAGCCAGGATCCACTGCTCATCCCCATCCACGGCCTTGACCCGGGCAGCCACCTTGTCTCCAGGTTTGGCCACGTAGTCCCCAGAGGCCGGAATGGCCCCCCACGCGGAGTGGGGGCGGCCTGCGGAGGGGATAACGTGTCAGTCCCAGCCCCACCCCTGCCAGCGCCCCCTCCCTGGGCCTGGCCTCACTTGTCACCAGGCTTCCCGATCCACAGCGGCAGGGTCATGGCTGACTGCTGCAGCAGGGTCATCAGCACCCCCCGACGCATGGTCTTCCGCGGGGCCTCAGAGTCATTGTACAGGCCCGCGATCTTGGCCGCTGTGGAAAGAGAGGGAGCCCCTGAGGCACCAGGGATAGGGTGCCTGCCCCTGGCTCCCCACCTCTCGAGTCAGCACCAAGGATCCAGTGTGCTCCCTGGTCCTCCCGTGGAGGCTCCTGCTGCGAGACCACCAGGCCACACTCACCTGGCCAGACGGGTTAGTGAATGTGTTTTGGGAAAGAACAGAAGAGGCCAAGGGGGATTCTGAGACGCTGGTCATGTCTCTTATCTGGGTGCTGGTTACATCCATTTGTTCAGTTAGTGACAATTTTATTGCGCTGGGGGTATACTTACATGTATTTTCTATTAATATGTTATACTTAAGCAAAAAGTTCAAAGAGCTATCAAATGTGGACAGAGCCCTTACCTCCTCGGGCATGGCTCAATACACCCAGTCAACTTCAACCCAAGTGGCAGTGTGACAATTTCATGGGCGAGGAGTCCGCCCCTGGGTACATTGGACGGGCGAGAGAGAGGTGGGACAGCAGTCTGAAGCGATACGGAAGCCAGCACCCTGTGTGAGCCCCATCTGAGAGGCTGGCTTCAGGACATCCCGCTGTGGCTCTCAAATATCAGCCAGGTTCTCACCTCAGCAAGAAATGGGCCTGCGGGTAGCAGGTGACTGCCCCAGGCAGTAGAGGATGGAAACCAGAGGCACTGGGGCAAATCAGCTTAGTGTGCAGAGGGAGAGCTGAGGCCTTGTCTCTGACCCTGGGACTGACCTCCATGCCCTTCCCAGTCCCAGGCTGCCCTGGTGCACCTCCCTGTCACAGCCCGTGGCCCAATCGACCACACCAGGCTGAGGTTACAGGCTCCCCGGCAGGAAGACATGACTGCTGCTCCCAGGAACCCTCACTCCACCTGGTCAAGGAACGCCCAACTAACTTGTCATCTCTAACTCACCGATCCGCCTCTCTTCCAACAGAGACTTGATTTCCGCAATCTTATCGAGGGCTTTCCGGAGGATGCTGAGGGTGGGAGGCGGGAAAGAAGAGGTCTGGGTGAGGCACTAAGCATGGACTTCCTCTTCTGGTCAAGAACGCAGACAAACCTTGTGAAAACTATGAACCCCACATAGGTGGCTTTAGTCTTAAAAGCATACAAAAGCTGGTAAGACAGCCCGACCGGTGTGGCTCAGTGGTTGAGCATTGACCTATGAACCAGGAGATCATGGTTTGGTTCCTGGTTAGGGCACATGCCTGGGTTGCAGGCTCGATCCCTGGGTAGGGGGCATGCAGGAGGCAGTTGATCAATAATTCTCATAATTGGTGCTTCTATCTCTCTCTCCCTCTCTTTAAAAATCAATAACATCAAAGAATAAGGAGTTTGGCTTTTTATTTGGG